ACACCAACTGAAATATTTCAGGTCTTTAATTGTTTTAATACTGATGATTATGGCATACAGCTCATGAAAACCCAAAATGCCTGTCCCAAAAAATTAGCATATCATGAAAAGGTTGTCTAAACAAGCTATTAACCTAACCATCTGAATGAACAACATAACTCTAAACACCTGCAAAAGATTCCTGAGGCTTTTAAAAACTCCCAGCCTTGTTCATTACTCAAAACCGCAATCATGGGTAAGACTGCCGACCTGACTGCTGTCCATAAAGCCATCATTGACACCCTCAAGCAAGAGGGTAAGACACAGAAAGAAATTGCTGAACGAATAGGCTGTTCCCAGAGTGCTGTATCAAGGCACCTCAGTGGGAAGTCTGTGGGAAGGGAAAAGTGTGGCAGAAAACGCTGCACAACGAGAAGAGGTGACCGGACACTGAGGAGGATTGTGGAGAAGGGCCGATTCCAGACCTTGGGGGACCTGCGGAAGCAGTGAACTGAGTCTGGAGTAGAAACATCCAGAGCCACAGTGCACAGGCGTGTGCAGGAAATGGGCTACAGGTGCTGCATTCCCCAGGTCAAGTCACTTTTGAAAAAGAGACTGCGTCAGAAGCATCTCACCTGGGACTGCTGCTGAGTGGTCCACAGTTATGTTCTCTGATTACAGTAAATTTTGCATTTCCTTTGGAAATCAAGGTACCATAGTCTGGAGGAAGAGAGGAGACACAGAATTCACATTGCTTGAGGTCCAGTGTCAAGTTTCCACAGTCACTGGGGTGTCATGTCAGCTGCTGGTGTTGGTCCACTGTGTTTTATCAAGCGCAGGGTCAATGCAGCTAGCTATCAGGAGATTTTGGAGCACTTCATGCTTCCATCTGCTGAAAAGCTTTACGGAGATGAAGATTTCATTTTTCAGCACGACCTGGCACCTGCTCACAGTGCCAAAACCACTGGTAAATGGTTTACTGACCATGGTATTACTGTGCTCAATTGGCCTGCCAACTCTCCTGACCTGAACCCCATAGAGAACCTGTGGAATATTGTGAAGAGAAAGTTGAGAGACGCAAGACCCAACACTCTGGATGAGCTTAAGGCCGCTATCGAAGCATCCTGGGCCTCCATAACACCTCAGCAGTGCCACAGGTTGATTGCCTCCATGCCACGCTGCATTGAAGCAGTCATTCATGCAAAAGGATTCCCGACCAAGTATTGAGTCCATAACTGAACATGATTATTTAAAGGTTGGCGTTTTTTGTATTAAAAACACTTGTCTTTCATTGGTGGGATGAAATATGCTAATTTTTTGGGACAAGCATTTTGGGTTTTCATGAGCTGTATGCCATAATCATCAGTATTAAAACAATTAAAGACCTGAAATATTTCAGTTGGTGTGCAATGAATCTGAAATATATGAAAGTTTTATTTTTATCATTACATTATGGAAAATAATGACCTTTCTCACAATATGCTAATTTTTTTAGAAGGACCTGTATGTAGATATATAGATATGTATATGAATGTATATTCATGTGTATGTATGTATGTATATACAGTAGGCGTAAGTATGGGTATATATATTTATGGAAACTTACTGCAAAGCCATGAATATTTTAAGTTCTTTATACATATGTATTTTGTTGCTGTGTTTTGTCATGTTCTTTGCAGGTGAACAGACAGTGGCTGGGTGTTTTGCCGTGTGCTCTCTTTGTGTATATTTCTTATATTTTGGAGTCTTCCTTTGTCTTTTCTTTCTTTCTATCCTATTAAAAAAAAAAAAAAACTACACTAGATAATCACTAGAATAAATATTTCATAATAATGGTGTGGAGAGGATGGCTGTAAGGGGAGAAGGGAGGCCATCTAGAAAAAAAAAAAAAAAGAACTCTAGGAGAACCAGAAAACCAGAGGACTATTCCAGGAAGGAGGTTCAACAAACTCTGAACTCTGATATTCCAAACAGGTTCATTTGGTCTACACAAGATTGTACTTAAAGTTTTATTTTTTATCAGACCAGTGCTTGACATGTTTCGATTACTTTCAGCTGATTTTAACCCTGCATAAATCAGCTGGCAGACACGTCACAGTAACATGATGAAGATTGCAGGAAGTAATTGAAACATGTCAAGGTACTAACACACAGCACTGGTCTGATAAAAAATAAAACTTTAACTATACTCTGAACTCTCAGTTGATGTGTTGTCCCTCCAGAAAACACATCAACACTCCCCTGTTGCCATGGTGAATCACAGTATCGGAGCTCCATTGATGGTGGCTTTTTACTAGTTGTCAGGCACGAGCTCAACTTTGTTTGTTGAACCTCCTTTCTGGAATAGGACCTGTTTATGAAGTTTACTTGTTATTCTGCAAACCGACATGTAGAATTTACATAAATTAAAAGGTAAGTGTAAATTCCAATAAACAAAAAGTATGCTAACAGATAAGTGTGAAACTAACATAAGATATAAGCATATGTAAAGACAACTGGTTAAACATGTAGCTAAGTTGCAGTCTAAGTCCAAAGTGCTAAGTGACAGTAATGTCTAGACATCATTAGCATGATTTGTATCCTTGAGGGACTGACTGAACTCATTCTTGTATTTGTGTTTTGTAGTCAGCGGATGGTCAAGACCTCACTGACACTCCGGTGGCTCTTCTGACAGTCGTCACAGATGACACTACTGATGCAGCCCTGTTCAGCCCTGAGAGCATCTGTATTGTCGTGGAGGATGAAATACTTGTGAGTGGTCCCACAAATCTGGTTGACTCATTTCTCCTGCTCTTTGGGTACATCTATGCGCTAGACCTACAGTACCCCAAGAAGCTTGAGCTTACATTCACATTTATCCAAAAAGTTGTGATGTATCTTGAGGACAATATTGAAAATTTTGAGTGTATTTCAAGCATTATATGAGTTGAAAATATTGAAGATTTTAAGTGAAGTACTCCCTAATCATAAATTGAGAAATATCAATATTTATAACGGTGAGATAATTTAAGACAACTGCACATGTAATTTTTATTTTATGTAAACTTAAAACATTTAAAAACATCAATCAAATATTATTATGTAATCTGTTACAAAATAATTTTTGAGTTCCGTAAACTTATTAGGGTTTACAGTGCATTAATCCTGACTTCCTCATTTTGATAAAAAAAAAAAAACAGCACAAATTATTTTATTCATTTTTGTTTTGTAGGTCAAAGTGTTTTATATAACACTCCTGACTTAAAATGTTGCTGATCAATTTGAATTTATTATTATTTGTTGATTGTATTTAATTTGATTTGTCAGTATCAAATGGTCAAAAATGTTTACAGTTTAAATAAGGATAGATTTTATTATTTCAGGCAAATTGGTGCAAATTTAAGTCTTTTTTTGTAACAGATTAAAAAACAATGTTAATAATTTTTGTTGTAAATTGATCTATATTTCTTTCTTTCTTTAATGTTAATAAGGACACAGTGTTATGCAGAGGTGTATTTAAAACAATTTTATAGACAAATGATACTATTTACAGTCGCTGTGGAGAGTTGGGGGTGCACAAAATGTTTACTTCTTCCTGGGGGGGCATAACAGAAAATAGTTGAGAAGCACTGGTCTAGTGGTTCTATACTTAATGCTCCTCAACCTCCTTCCTGAGGGAAGCGGGGCAAAAAGTGTGTGTGCTGGGTGAGTGGGGTCTTTTATGAAGCAGGTGGCTCTCTTCCTGCATCTGGAGGTGTAGATGTCTGTGATGGTGGGGAGACTGACTCCAACAGTCTTCTGTGCAGCCTTCACCACTCTCTGCAAAGCTTTTCTTTCTGCAGCTGTGCAGCCTCCATGCCACACGTAGATGCTGGAACACAGGATGCTATCCACTGCACACCTGTAGAAAGAGGTGAGGACTGAGCTTCCCAGACCAGCTCATCTCAGCTATCTGAGGGAGTAGAATCTCTGATGAGCTTTCTTGATCAGGCTGGTAGTGTTGTTGCCCCAGCTGAGGTTGTCATTCAGGTGCACACCCAAGTACTTGTAGCTGGAGACCACTTCCACCACAGATCCTCCTATGTTCATGGAAGGGGGGTGGGGGGAAGGTGTGTTTGTTCCGTCTGAACTCCAAGGCCATCTCTTTTGTCTTCTTCACATTGATGTCAAGGTTGTTCTTCCTGCAACAGCTCTCCAGGTGTTCCACCTCCTGCCAGTAGCTGGACTCTAGGGCTGTACAATTCCTCGACTAATTCGAGTACCTCAATTAAACCTCAAAAAATCCTTGAGCGAAATTTAAGTGATTCTTTAAGTGACTCTTAATTTTAAGGCCAGGACCAAGTTGCAAAGGAGGAGCTTAGTCCTAGTGTGAGTAGTTTGTCCCTTAGGGTCTGGGGAATCATGGTGTTTGTCGCGTTCTGCCGTCAGGAGTGTTGAACCCAGTTGCAGGAGGATGACAGGAGGCTCGAGGAAACGTAAAAATATTTATTTTCAAAAAAACAAAAATCAAAATGCTTACAGGGACTGCTCACTCACAGATAAACAGGACACAAGCAGATCATGGTAGACAGGACGAAAGGCAGAACACGACACCATGGAAGGACAATTCGGAGACAAAGACAAGACACAAGGGAAGTGAATATATACACAACACTGATTGGGACAACTACAGACACCTGTGGTGATTAACATCAGACACAGGTGCGACAAGGGCTAAACACAAGGAGGGAGAGCTGACTGGAAACATGAGGAAACAAACAAAGACAGGACAAAACCCAAAAACCCTACAGTATCCCCACTCAAGGGATGGCTCCTGGCATCCCAAGGATGATGTTACATACAACTTGGGTGGGAGGCCTGACAAAAACAGGACAGACCAGGACAGAGAAACACAGATGACCAAAAGAACAAAAAACTGACAGGTAAAACCTGGGGAACTCTATACACAAACAACGAGTACCAGGACCCCAACCGAAAGTCAAGGTGGATGGTCAGGAGACCGCCCAAGGCAGGTCCAATGTTCAGGTGGGTGGCCTAGTGACCATTCCCAATGAGGCAGGAGATCAGGAGGGCGGCCTGGAAACCATACATCCCCGGGCCAGAGTTCTGGTGGGCGGCTAGGAAACGTCCACCCGTGGGCAGCAGTGGTATGCCTCTGATCCCTCCTGAACTTGGGCAGATGAAGACCTCAGGCATTGGACCATGGGCGAAGACCTTGGTGGGCAAGCCAGGAGCAAAGAGGTCAAAAGACTGACCATGGGTGTGGCAAGGCTAGGACCCTGCGCTCTCTGCAGCCCAAAGATCTTCTGCGGTAGACTCAGGAGCGAGGACATCCGGAGACGACTCAGGAGCAAAGACCTCCAAAGGTGAGCTGGGAGTGAGGACCTCCAGAGACGAGCCAGGAGTGAGGACCTCCAGAGACGAGCCGGGAGCGAGGACCTCAAGAGATGAGCTGGGAGCAAGGACCTCCAGAGACGAGCCAGGAGTGAGGACCTCCAGAGACGAGCCGGGAGCGAGGACCTCCAGAGATGAGCTGGGAGCGAGGACCTCCAGAGACGAGCTGGGAGCGAGGACCTCCAGAGACGAGCCAGGAGCAAGGATCTCAGCTGAAGGGCCGGGAGAGAGGACCTCAGCCAAAAAGCCAGGAGAGAGGACCTCAGCCGAAGAGCC